ACCTTTGGCTAAAATGGAAATAGAAGTGCATGATTTATTTCAGGTATTTAGATTTGGATTTGGTAAATTCAAGGATGGAAATAGTAAAATAAACAGGAATGGGAGATAAATAAATAAGAAGTGAAATTAGATATAATATATATATATAAATTGTGATTTCTTCTGACAGTAGCAGGTGTTCTCTGAACGGCGTTCGACTAAACTTCACCGGCAATTTTCACCCTTTTGCCCTAGAGCCCATTTTCCGGCAGCCACCAATCTCTCTCCTCTCTCTCTCTCTCTCTCTCTCTCTCTCTCTCCCCGTGATGCCATAGCTTCTTCGTACCTCGATCAGCGACCTTCTTCCGGTGGTAATCTCCTCGTAGAAATCAGGGGTCTCTCTGTCGATTGTCGTGATTGGCATTAGCAACTGTGGTCGGGGTTCCTATTTCCGGATCAAAATTAGGGTTTAGGGTGAGTGTAATGGAAATTTCTGGCCATGTTCGTAGTGTACTTAGAAAAAAAGTCTCCTACGGAGATTTACGTTAAACTAGAGCTCATTCATTAGAAAAAAGTTTCCAAGGAAAAAAGCGCTGACTGGGTTATATTACCCACGCGCCTGAATTGCCGAATTTGGGGAGGTGGCGTTCACGCTCTCACCCTGCGCGTGGGAGAGTATCATAGCATTTACAACCTGTGGAACCTAGGCTCGCACATTCAAAGCCCAACCACGAACACCCAAAAGGCCCAAAATATATATTTTGTTAAGGTGTAATCGTATAAAAATATCCGAATTTTTTAAAAAATTTTAAATAAATATCCGAACTATAAAATTGTCATAACTTTTTAAAACTCTCATATAAATATCTAAACTTTTAAATTTTTTCCAAATTAAACAAACTCAACTGCTAACTCAGCTAAAAACTGTTGACTCAGCAAAAAAACTGTTGACTCAAAAAAAACTGCTGATTCAGCATTCAAAAATATTATTAAATATCTAAATATTCATCTACATGTATTTAAATTAAGGAGTAATCGCATAAAAATATCCGAACTTTTACAAAAATCCCAAATAAATACTCGAACTATAAAATTGTCATATAAATACCTGAACTTTTCAAAACTCTCACATAAATATCCAAACTTTTAATTTTTTTTCAAATCAAACAAACGCAACTTCTGACTCAGCAAAAAACTACTGACTCAGCAAAAAAAACTGTTGACTCAGCAAAAAACTATTCACTCAGCATTCAAAAATATTATTAAATATCCAAATATTCATCTACATGTATTTAAATTAATATATACATATAAATTCATATATATATATAAATATATATATATATATATATATTAAAAATAAAATTATTTATAATTACTAAAACACATATACACATAACTACAATATATATATATATATATCATTACTAATGTATAATAAAAATAATTATAATTAAATTTATTATTAAAAATAATAATAATGCATAAAAATAATTATAATTAAATATATATATTATATATATTACTAAAAGTTTTGAAAAGTTCAGGTATTTATTTGACAATTTTATAGTTCAGATATTTATTTGGGATTTTTGTAAAAATTCGGGTATTTTTATGCGATTACCCCAATAATAAATTTAATTATAATTATTTTTATTGGAATATATATGCATTAGTAATGATATATATATATATTATAGTTATGTGTATATGTGTTTTATTAATTATAAATAATTTTATTTTTAATATATATATATATATATATATATTTGTATATATATGTAAATTTATATGCATATATTAATTTATATACATGTAGATGAATATTTGGACATTTAATAATATTTTTGAATGATGAGTCAGCAGTTTTTTTACTGAGTCAGCAGTTGCATTTGTTTGATTAGGAAAAAATTTAAAAGTCTGGGTATTTATGTGGGAGTTTTGAAAAGTTCAGTTTTTTATATGACAATTTTATAATTCAGGTATTTATTTGGGATTTTTGTAAAAGTTCGGGTATTTTTATGTGATTACCCTTTTTTTTAAACACGACACATAGCAGGTCTCTCTTGCTTGGCCTCTCCCGCAGTTGCATTTGTTTGATTAGGAAAAAATTTAAAAGTCTGGGTATTTATGTGGGAGTTTTGAAAAGTTCAGTTTTTTATATGACAATTTTATAATTCAGGTATTTATTTGGGATTTTTGTAAAAGTTCGGGTATTTTTATGTGATTACCCTTTTTTTTAAACACGACACATAGCAGGTCTCTCTTGCTTGGCCTCTCCCCAACCCAAAACAACGCGTAGGTTAAATTATGCGTCGACCCACCAAGTTAGTTGTTTACTCAAACCGTTTTATTTTTGGGTGGGGGTTTTGGGATCGGGGCATTTACATCCGTCATCCGGGAATTTGGAATATCTGGTTTTATGAATACTCGAAAAAAAAACGGGTACTTGATACTCAATGAAAACGAAAACGAGTATTAAAATAGAAAAAAACCGTATGACGATTTCGAATACAAATTTTAGAGATTTAGAAAACAGATATCCCTGAATATCCGTATATATAGATATATGAAAAAGACAAATTATCATTTATATTTCTAAACTATTTACCAAAATACCTAGAGTTTTATAATGTTTCTATTGTCATTCTAATTATTTCAACTTCAAAATCATTTTGTATTTTTAAATTATTTTATATTTTTGAAAAAAAATTAGAAATTTATGTCTATTTTCATATTGCAGGTATTTTCAAATTTTAAATGTATTTTTGAATTAAAATATTTATTATTTTGTTGGATATTTAGTTTAGTTTTAGATTGGTGAATGCCACATATACGGATACGAGTATTCGCAAATACCCGTATTTTAATAACGGTAACGAATATTGTGAGATAAAGACAAATATAACGTTTCTATAAAAACCACGAAGACGAAAACGAAGACATATACACTAAAAACGCGAGTATTTGACCCGTGTGCACCTGCAGTTGGGGATTATAATTGAGTAACTCAAATAAAAAAAAAAAATTCCTATCCTGACATGAGAATACAACTGAAAGATATTTGTCTGAATACGAGAACACATTCAATGTGGGGTATTATTGAACAAATATTCCATATACCATAACTCCCCTCATCAAGGCTAAAGGCAAAGAATAAAGAATTTAACCTTCAGATACAAAAGTTTTTCTAACATTTCAAATTGGTTCATCTTTTGAAGGAAATCCCATGTAGCAAAACCCAAAGTTAATACAAAATTACAAAAAAAGGAACCTTAACATTACTACATACATACTGTATAATCACAATTCCTTTATTTTTCCACTTCTTCCTCTTCCTCCTCCATTTCTCCTCTTGCTAATCTCTCTTTACTTTCTATTTACTCCGCGCATTAGCTAACCAACCCTTTTTCATGCTTTCCCAAATTTATGTATAAATCACCCGATGACGCCAAAAAAATGTGAACTTTCAATCAAATACCTGACTCACCTTCAGTCCAGAGCTGCTTTGTTTCTCCGTCCTGTTAATGGCTTTGGTAACCCATCAAAGATGGAGCTCGTGATAGCCGCCGGCGTTAGAAGCTCAGGCTTCAGGCTCCATTTTCCGGCTGGCCACAGTGACGAGGTATTGTTATTACCGTCCTCTTCTTGTAGGCTCGAGGCACTTGATGACTTCCTCACACTAGTAAAGCTCTCTCCTGCAGGAGAATCCATCAAGTTTAACGGAAACGGGCCCGCATTACCAGTTCCGGGCTCTGTCGAGAGATTATTTCTACTCGAAGCTTTGGATCTTAGGGCTAACCCTTTTCCGGTTATTGCCGAGAACCCACCATTACTGCTGTTATCCTCCTTCAGCAGCATTTCCGGGGTTCTTGAAGTAAAGTCCGCCTCAGATTTCTGACGTCTTCTCATTAACTTCTCGTTCCATTTGTCGGAATTGATTTCTCCTGCCTCTGACTCGTTTACCTCCGCCAGAAGGGCGTTTACTAAGCTCCTCGACTTCCTGTGATGGCTTAGAGGAGGGTTGGTGGCTGGGGAGGGTCTAAGGTACCGATCATCTTCTACTTTCTTGTGGACCGCCATGTCGAAACCTTCAGAAACAGTCCTGTCAGAATGTTTCAGCCCATAATATCCCTGCAACGAATCCATCGCTGCAGATACGTTCTTGTCTTTCCTTTCAGAAGATTTCAATCTCAAAGATCGGAAGGAATCGAAGAAGTCTTGGTTATCACAACATGACAGTGTCTGTTCGTGGCATGGTGAAGCCTGCTCAGAACTGCCCTCTCTGTAAGAAGATTTTATATGTCAGCCAAAGATAGAGGATCACTTGAAATGCAGAGACAAACGAAAATTTGACAAACACTTCAACCAATTTATCTCGATTCCTAATATCTTTTACTCAAGATCTTGCTTTTTCCATACCCTTCACACATAAGTGACGAATACAATAAAGAGGGATAGGTTTTATGCTAAAAAAATTTAAAGATGTTTGCAAGCATCAGAATGGAGTTAAAGGTTCAAGGTCTGTCGTGCATCAAATACAATGCATACCAAAAAAAAAAAGAAGAGAGGAAACACCTTCAGAAGGATTCCTATACTAAGTACTTTCAGGTTCTATGCTGAAAAGTGAAAAGAACAGACTGCTCTACTACAACGCCGGATGGTACCCCCCCCCCCCCCC